ATAATGATAGCCTAATAATACTAATAATGATAATAATAATTATAGGCATACTAATTATTGTTATTATTATCATAATTACTATCATTATTATTTTTGTTATTTTTATGACTGCTACTACTTTTACTATTATTATCTAGATCTAGATCTATGTCATTTGTATAGGTTATCGCGAATTCCCGAATTACAACTGTCATTCGCATAGCACAAATTCCTGCTCAAAACCAATCTATATGCGCTTTAAAACCTAAATTATCATTTTTTTAAAAGGTTAGTGAACTTTAGGGTTTAAAAATACACATTTATAAAAGTATATAGCCACTTAACTTAAAATTTGATTTGGGTCTCTTTTGAAATAAAAAAAAGGGGTTGGGGGGGGGGGGGTTACTGTTTTGGATGCCATCAGTTTCTAGAACCGTTGCTCAAGAGTGCTTTCAGATGACAGACACATAATCAATACATCGCTACATTAGAATTATAAGTATAAAGATCTATCTGCTCAGTACCAAGAGTCTAGTTTGAGAAATTTGACAACCATTTTGGATTTCACAACTAACCTGTCACACCTTTTCGAATGCAATTCTTTGAATTTTAATATCTTGATAACGACTTCGAACAATCTTACGATTTTGATAGAACAGTTAGAACATTTAGTCCCTGATCTCGTGGTCGTATGTATTAGTAACTGTAAATAAAGAACCCGGCAAAAATTGTCAGACAGAACCTTGTTACTCTAAGGTAGCGACATAGACAGTGTAACCTCTCTATAGCGACTTTCGATATAACGACATCCTCTGTATAGCGACATGGTGCCCAGGTCCCGATAATTTTACTTATTATATACCATCAGCAATTTCTTATTGTCTCTCTATAACGACTTCTCTCTATAACGACATCTCTCTATAACGATATCTCTCTATAACGACAACTCTCTATAACGACCACTCTCTATTACGACATTTTTTTTCTGGTCCCTACAATATCGTTATAGAGAGGCTTCAATGTAGAATGGCTACTCCTTCAGGACATATAGTAACTCACCACAGAAAGGTTTCTTGCCAAACGTGTTGAGGTAGAGTTTGCCCCTTCCGGCTGTGGCGTTGCTATGGTAACCCATGACGTTACATCCGCCCCCTGAGCAGTCAAGGCATTGCCCGGCCTTGAACTTGGCCTTGAATTTGTAGGAAGCACAAAGTCACATCAAGTACGTGCGTAAATTCTTACTCTAAAGATTCCTTTTCTTCTCTCTCAAAAGTTTGGAGACTTTCAAAGCCTGAGTGTCATTGAATACTTAAAATTTACATTTAGAGTGTGTGTGTGTTCTGTTTGTGTGATTTTGATCAAATTTTCCAGTAAAATCCATACAAGATATATTTTTCAATAACTGTTAAAACTGTTGAGCCAAATTTTAAAAATAATAATTAATTAATATAAATTGCCCAAAATGGACCCAAACAAAATTGAGGTCGTTTTTTCGATTTGAAGAGCCCGGGTTCCCTCACGATGCCGTACAAAACAATACCCAACAAAAAACAAAAAAACCCAAAAACAAACAACAACAACAACAACCAAACAAACAAAAACCAACAACAGTTGTTATTATTACACATAAAAGCGCCAGAGGATAGAATTGGGCAGTGTACCCCCCCCCCCCAAGAAAAAACACAACAAAAACAAAAACAATAATAACAACAATAACAACAACAACAACAACAAACAGACAAACAACACAACCCCCCAAAAAAACCCACACCAAAAACCAACAACAAAACAACAACAACAACAACAACAACCAAAATCAGAACAACAACAAGAGTGCACTCACGTAGCTATCACAAGGGTAGGCGGTGAAGGAACAAGGGGAGCTCACTGACTCGATGAAGAGAGAGCAGATTCGTCCATGGCTGCACGATACCTTCCCAGCGAGGGCGGCCAGGCCACGTTCTGAGAAACAGACAGACAGACAAATACACAAACACATAAAACAAACAAACACATACACACATTACCAAAACATAATAATTTGGGTTTTTTTCTGTTGAATGGTTGAGGTTTAACGTCCTATGATAACCAAAGTGAGTGATAGTGTAGGTGGAGCTAATATATTGACTATCACCACCAGCAACAGCAGCAGTAGCAACTCAGCAGCAGCAGTAGCAGTAGCAGTGCCAATAGCAGTAGCAGTACAAGTAGCAGCAACAGTAGCAGTAGCAGTAGCAGTAGTAGCAGCAGTAGCAGTAGTAGCAGCACTTGTAGCAGCAGTAGTAGCAGCAGAAGCAGTGGCAGTAGCAGTAGCAGTAGCAGCAACAGTAACAGCAGTGAAAGGGTCAGCATCATTGTCAGTTATCAGCAGGAGCATAAACGGGGGAGTTGACGAGCAAAAGGTTTTTTTTGTGGATGAAGGGGGTGGGGGTGCTTTAAAGGTCAAAAACAGTCTACTCAACCTTTGTAGGATGAAGGTAACAACAGCAGCAGGTGAGTGAGTAATGATCGCGCCAACAGGCAGCCTTCTGTGCTCCTCTTAATTTGTGGTATTCCCGACTGTTGGTCCTGGCGAAGAGCACGCTCTTCGGTGCTCCGAACATTTCGAACGGACAGGTTGCCACAACAGCACCAGTAACAACAACCAGAGAGAGAGAGAGAGAGAGAGAGAGAGCGAGAGAGAGAGAGAGAGAGAGAGAGG